TAAGCGTATCATAAGTAATTATTAATGTAGAATTTCATAAAAGAAATAATAAAATTAGAGTCTAAAGATTAAATATTATTTAAAATCAAATTTCGTATTTTACCATGTAGAAAACGAGATATTTCGTCGAATTCTACGCGCAATTTCATCGTATCACGCGGAAGAAAATTTAAACACTACAAGTCGACTTCCCTTTTTGAAACGGAAGTTTAAGTGCGCCGTTCTCAGCGTATCCGGAATATCATGGCTGCTCCGACCGTTCGGAATGCTAATGCGTGATTACGGCGGCCACGGCCGTAATACGCGAACTTTTTGTGCGGCTCACGTGTGACCCGGGGGCGCTTAAAACATCCCTTAAATTACCCCCATTAGCAAGGGTTGAACGCCGGGTAAACGAGGATTTCACTGGCGCTGTTACGCGAGATTTATTCCGTGGGAAATATTCCTTTCGGACGTTAAATTACGTCGTTATACCGGGGGCTCTTACTCCTCGCGCCCGACGAGTCGATCCAAGTATAAACTAAGCCGATTTCGCAACGTATTGTACCGCTATCGCGCGTTTTCGCCGACGTATTAAATGTGAAGTAACGAGCCGACGGCGCAATGAAAGCGACGATTTCAAGTGGGCGACGGTATGGGAACTCCTTCACTGAAGTAGTTACAGACACCCACGTGTGGAAACACTTCGGTAATCGTCTGGAAAAATACGATGGCAGCCCTCCACGCAAAAATTGAAGCCGATATTATTCAACAGGAACAATGGCAAAGATACAAAGCGATTATTAAGACAATTTTTTGTTTAGAATAAATAATTCCTTGAGATTTATTCTTATATAAATGGAAGGCGAACATTGCCCTAAGTTTCCATGATTATTATTACCTTCAATTTATATCAGATAAATCTGTAAAGATTATCCCAAGCCAAAGCCAATTGTCACAGCAAATGCCAATTACACAATTATATGTTTAATTATTTCTATCCGCGTGCTACACGCTCGTCGCTATAGGCATTGTCGTGATGGCTCCTCTTGGGGAGAAGAATTCTGCTGATGGCATCCCGTGTTTCGCACGTGACTAACGGCACGCGGCTCGAATCTTATCTCCCTAATTTCTCGAGAGTGGCCGTTCACCGTCGGCAATGCGCACCGTCGCGTCGGCACCCGGAGCCGAGAAACGTTCTCGCGGGCGATTTACGGAATTTAAACAGCCCCCCGGGATAAGGCGGCGGTTGCTTGGCGTTGCATGCCAGGTCGGATTAGCAGGTTGCCCCCGCATCGGGATAATTCCCCTCGTCCCCTGCCCTGCCCCCGACTCCCGGCACAGCCGCCCCCGTTAGCCTTCGGGGTAGGTTACGTCCTTCCTGCGGGATAAAACAAAACAGCCAGCGGAGTATATTAATGCTCGGCTTAATGCGGCCCGCCTAATTAATGGACCGACTCTCCGGACGCCCGCGCCCGGCCGCTCGCTCGTTCTAAAAGTAAGAGATAACGCCGCTGCAGAAGCATTATTAAAGACAAAAGCGCGACCGCGCCGCTCTCGTGCCCCCTGGACGAGTGGAAATTTCGGTAAGCGCTTCCTGACGTATAAGGGATTTTCTTCCCTCAGCAGGTCGGCGAAGAAGAGAAAATAGGAGAGGACGGATGCGGACGATAACGATACATTTATTAAAACTATATTGGATTGAAATAAATGAGATTAATAGGATTAATATAAAATAGCACATATAACATCCCTGTCATATAAAGGTTTATTTTTTAAACAAAAATTGATTTGTCTTTAATGAAAATATCCGGATGTCGATGGTATCTCTCGGATCGTAAGCTGCAGAAAATTGGTCGAGTGGAGGCAAGGGGTATTGACGAATTAAGTTTCCAAGACACCAGGGCGCAGCGCGCTGTCTTTCTATTTCTTCAAGAGATCCGGGGGTGGCACGCTGGGAGTGTCATGGATGCTGCAGGGGCGGAGCCTTGAGAGAGTTGCATCGAGACTGCTCGGCTGCGTCGATAAGCAGATCGCCCCCGCCCTACTGTTACGTATTCTTGATTTTACAGGCGTTTCTTAGTGTTGGGGAAGATTTTTACTGATTTTTGAGACCCGCGCCTAATTTACTGAATTGTCCTGATTAAGGGATCTTGATCGCGTCATGAGATAAATCGTCTAGAAATGTCAATTCGAAATGAATGAATGGTCAAAGCTATGGTTTTTGAATTACGCTCTCCTTACAACCGTATCCTCTCGATCGGCACGAGGGGGCAGGCAATTCCCATGGCGTAATACCATCGCGACGATAATGACCATCGAGAGCGTAGCGGCGGGCGGGCAACGGCTTGGTCAAGGAGGATACGTATTACGTATACCGACTCGTCGACAGGTTAGCGGTTCTCGAACGTGTAGCGGTTAATCGAATTATCGATGCTTTGAGGATCAGCGTCCGTGGATGATTCGATCACGTAGCTGATGAACAGTTCCGGCGGTCAGCGATGCGAGCCGCTTTCGAAGGGAAACCTCTCGTTATGGACCCTCCTCGGTAACGTTTGAGCGAGCTGTTTCCACCGTGCTCCGCTGGCTTCTCGACGACAGTAACCTCGGCCGTGTAATTAATCGCAAAAATCGACGCCGGCACTTGAAAATCGACGATTGCTCGCAAATTTCGCGCGGGGACAGTTTTCTTCGTTTCGACGCGTTCGCGATTTGGGAAGAGAAAATAGTTAACCGTCAAAGTCAGCCATCACGATCAAAGTTAACTGTCGGTTACGAAATCGGCTGAAAGGACGAATGTTCTTTCCGAGGGGGAAACCACACCCACCGCACCGATGAAAATCGCGGTTAAATACAAAGTGGAAATTGAGCGCCAACCTGGCTTGGCGGTCGAAGGTTTTCGAGGTCGTCGGCGGAATCCAGGTCGGCGTCCGCAGGAATTTCTGCGGTGAAATTCCATTGCACGTAACTCCAAATATTTCTGTAGTATCGTAGTTCGTACGAGGGGGGATTTCGAGTTTCAAAGGAAACACTCTCTCGCCACTTCCGTTCGCGAAACAGCGACGTTTCGCCGTCCGAGAGTCTAACGGGCAACGACCAAGCGGACACACAGCCGCTACGGAAATTCTGTTGAAACGCGTATAGACGCAACGCGAAGGTAAAGTACACGTGTACAAAACTCATACGCACATTCGCGAGTGCTACGAAAAAAAAAGGAAAAAGAAAACCTAAACTGTTTTCAATTTGATCTAATTACATTGGCGAGGTCCGCCAAAAGAGCAACATAAATTTAATATATCGCGCCAATCGATATCGCCTAGCGATTATTATGTGGGAAAGTTTATATGCGGGCGGATTTAATAGTTTGCATAATTTACCCCGCTAGTTAGTTATTCCATTAATCATTACCCCGGGTAGGTGTGTGCACGCCCGCGAATAACAATCGTACTATTATTTATAACGTATTCAATTTATCGGTAACCCGCGGGCGGAGGTAAAGCGTGTAATCGATTCAACTCGATTAATTAACTCGCCCCCGCGTATGCGATTGTAACCGAGGTGCCTCGGTGTGCACGGAGGCGTCTCTCGTTACCGTGGACGAAAACTTTCCGCCACCGCGCGCTGCCTCCGTCGCGTCTGTGTCGCGCAAAAAAACACGCACGCACGCGCGCGCACACATACACGCACACATACACATTCTGTGTATGCGGGTCCCGTCCGCTTATCCGCGACACAAAGGCGTTTAATTAGAAGCGCATCGGAAAACGGGGGCATCATCCGGCATCTGGTTTTTGTCCCCGGCAATTTTCGCGTTCCGCCAAGGCGATACGGATTTTTCATCCCCGTCGCCGTTAATAATTAACGGATCAAAGGCATTGTATTAATATTTGCCCCGAAGTCCCCGACCGCACGGAAGATATTAACCCGCGTAATATTGTGTCCATGTTAAGGGGGAGAGGAGGGAAGGACATATTGAAACCGCACAAACTTCGCTCATAGCATCCGCGGGTATGAGCTCGTAAATATACCGGGTGGCTGAAATCGAACTTGGCGTAGTGCGCCCGGTGGACATCGCCCGAGGAAAAAGACCGACCTGTCAATATGCGCGACGTTAACCGAGTCAAGACCAAACAATCCAACAATATCTTGCTGTTTGTCTAACATGTACATTCACAGTTAAAGAAATTACATTTTCCGAAAAACGTTCTCGATGAAATAATATAAGTAACATATTTACAGGAAATTTGTATACATTTCCGTCAATTCGGCAGAAGAATTACGCTTTTCTTTTTCTGTTACGATCTGTGCAAGCGTTATGCTATTCTTATACACTTAAAAGGACACCGTGGCTCTTCAGAGGAATTACCTAATGTTTATCCAGAGCACGGACAGCGGTCGGCTACCCGAGTCGTTGGGTTGTTTCGGAGCCGGTGGTGCTTAAACGCGCAATAAGTGGAGGAAGAGGTAGGAGTGGGAGGGTCAAACTAATTCGATTCTAAACTCTGACCACATCGCGAGAAAGAGACCATAGGACGGGACGCTCCGATGCGGGAGGGAGATTCGCGGGGGATGAGAAAGGCTACACGCCCGAACGGGCCGAACGGGGTGGACACAGATGGCACTAACCGCGCCGTTAAATTCTCAAGCCGTAACTCTAATTACTCATAGACAAGCCGACATTCTAGTGCCAGATGCCGGTGAAACTTGTTAAAAGCACGCGAACGCGATTACTCATTCGATCCTGGACGCCGGCAACTGTCGGCGGAAGTCGATCCGACCGTTGCGGCTTCCGGATCAAAGTGACACCGTAAGAAACAGCTTTTGTAATAAATAAGTGATATTGAATCAATTCTCACCGTCATCAGAGCGAAATCAATATGCCAAATATAAATGAGTATAATAATGACAAAGTCCGAGATATCGCGCTTATGTTCGGCTTAAATTTTACGAGACACGACAAACATACGATCCATAGTTTCTGCGATGGTGATTAAGCCAACATTTTCTGTACCATGTTGCAGGCGATAAAATGACTATGGATGGGAGCAAAAGCGAACCGGGCAAGAACGGGGCCACTCAACAGGAATGCGCGGGTTGCGGAAAGACGATTACGGAGAGGTAAGTGTTCCGCTTCATTTGCGTGACGCAACGCTACGTGTACGTTTCACATCCTGTCCTGAAATAACGCTAATCGTCTGCAATGCCTTATTTCCTCAGACATATAAACTGAATTAAATAATTTTTTCTAATGAAAGTCGAACCGCACGCTGTCCAAAATTCGTAACTTGATATTTGAATGAAATGAGTAATTATTATTACAAATAGAAAACTTTATAATAATGCACGCTCGACATAGTTGTAGAATAAAAATAATTGCATTTAATTTCTAAATTATTATATAAGGAATTTTGCCGAAACAAACTAAACTTAAATAAAATAATAGTAATAGTAATCTGGTAATCTCTTTTCTTCATTTTTAATAAAATTTTTTAGTCGGTAATATTACTCAATTCTTAAAATTTAAGTTTATGTAACTACAATTTTTATATTAAAGTCATAATTTTCAGTGTGCTATTATTGCACTAATGAGATCAATCGTAGTTAAAACACATTAAATAAATCTGGAGAGAAGAAAAACCTGAATCTTTTATATATGTATAGTTATAAAAAGCATATTCTATAAGTTTAATAAACACGCTTGTATTTTCTATATTCAGATGCTATCAAATAATAATTCTATTTAAACAGATATCTTCTGAAAGCATTGGACATGTATTGGCACGAAGACTGCTTGAAATGTGGATGTTGCGACTGCAGGCTTGGCGAGGTCGGTTCGACGCTCTACACCAAGGCTAATCTCATCCTTTGTAAAAGAGACTATCTACGGTAAATAACGAACAATTTAATCGATCAGTTTCTCGTAAAAATATTTTCGGCAAGATTTTCGCGGATTCGATAGCGTTGCGCATCTCGTGTCGACGAGTCAGTAAACAGACAGACAGATTGACAAAAGCGATTGACGAAAGACGCTATTGCGGAGGGGAGAAGACGAAATCGAGGCGAGCGGCGGCAACAAATCGAATTTTACAGATGAATTTCCCTTATTGAATACACCCACATCCCATATAAACACAAGCGAGAGCAAATAAACTGTGTTGAGATTACAGAGTCCCGAGGGAATGCGCGCAGGTGGCGCGTCCGCATGAGGAACACGCACCGTCGAAACATTGTGGCCTTTATTAATGGCCCAATATTTGAAGACGGCATATTCGCGGTGCCCGTAAGCTTATTGGTTTTCGTCGCGCACGGGGTGAAACTTTCCGCTCGCTCTCGTCATCGAACGAACAATTTTTCTTGCGTCGTGACAAAAGTCAGGCTTCCCAAGTTCCGATAGTATTATATATTTTGCGGCAACATTTAATTACTCAAAGAATCAATACATAACATAAAAGCATATTGTATTAGGTTCATAATTACTTAATATATAAAATATGTAGAATAAATATAATAGAGTATTAGGTCTATTTTTTTTGTGTTTGACAGACTCTTTGGAAATACCGGTCATTGCGCAGCGTGCAGCAAAGTTATTCCAGCTTTCGAGATGGTGATGCGCGCGAGGACCAACGTTTACCACTTGGAATGTTTCGCTTGTCAACAGTGCAATCACAGGTAAGAACGCAAATAACGTTACGATGTGATAATTTTCTTCCTCGCAAAAAGGATATTTTATTTAAATTTAAAGAGAATAAAACGGTATTAAGATTGAAACTATATTAACCATATTAACTGTATTCAATAATCAGCGGAATTCCAAGAAACGCGCCGACGAAACAACAAGTTTCGATTCACGTCGCGCCGAAGTGTGCGGTCTCGCTTCCGCGGGCCCCCCTTCGGCGGCGCTATTATTTTATTAACAATAATGAAAGCCGGTAATTAAACATTCACACCCGGCGGCGCCGACGTCGGCGGCGACGGCAAAGTCGCTTGCTCGAATATTTCTCTCTCTCTCTCGTGGCAGCTCATCCGTATAACAATTTAATTCGAGCCACCCCAGCCGCGCGCGCCCGGGGGTTTGCCTAACTTCTGCAGCACTTCGCAACACTTCGCTTACTTATTCACAACAACCGAGTTAAGCCGAGGCTCGTTCGAAAGCCGGGACTCGAGCGCCGAGACGCCTCGGCGGATCTGCCGAATGGAGATAATCGGTGCGCGAAGGCTCGAGAGCCCGCACGTTACGCTTTTGCGAGACGTCACGAAGAGAACAGCTTCTCCATCTCTATTCTTCTCTTTGCGCAAAATGACGGGCAACATGTTTTCCAAGTATTTATATAGTTCTTTTCTTAGAACTTCACTAGAAATCCCATCAAAGAGTCACGATTGTCGGAACTGTTTGAATAAAAGCTTTGAAATTTTGTAAAATAAATATACACGAATATCTAATTTCTACGAATAAGTTATTTGTTTTTGGTAAAATTAGACGTTACACGACTGCTGTCTCCCGTTCCATATATATCACGGTCGATGTAAACGTTGATTCGCTCCCCTAACTCGAGACTTTCGTAAAGGATCAATGCCGTAGAGCGCGAAGAATCCGCTCGACGTTTCCTCTCTTGACGAGCATAATTGACGCGAGAGCTTCCGACGTGGATGCGAAGGCATTCGGAGACATTCGCCATGAGAGGGAAGAGAGAAGAGAAAGGGAGAGAGGCTAGGAAAGTCAGAGTTGCGAACTATGCGAGCGACGTGTGGGTGCCTCGAGGTGCACGTCAGATGCAAATCATGCCGACTAATTTCTCGGAAAACTCACGAATCCGCAGGGAGAGAGAGCAGACCGAATATTCGCGGCAAGAGATACGTCCGAGTATAATAGCGCAGCGATAAAGCCGAATAGCCGAATTAATTATACCCCCGTGTCTTTGGTTGTCCAAAACAGTTGAATCATTCGGTGCCCAACCGTTTGGCTCGGCTATAATTACCAAAAGCGTCCGTTTTACGTATGTGCTGATTAACTTTGGGGAGAGAGCCAAATTAATCTTTGTAGATTTCGACATATTAATATTTTATTTATTCAAATTAAATTTGTAAAAAGCCGCCCGTATAACAGGAATAAAACGTATAAAGTTTCGATTTTTATATTTTCTTTTAAAAGGACACAATGCAATTATTTAATTTAATGACGGCGAGCGCTGGCTTCCAACGCCGAAATAATTAAACTCTATTTAAACGATTATAATTGCACTTTCTTTCTCTTTCTCTCTTTTTAGATATATTGTATCTTTTAATAGCTATTTCATTATCTTAGTTAAATCAATTTAATTGTACAGGCTTATACCATTTCTTTTTCTCTTTTGTTTTTGTTTCTATTTCTTTTGTTTCGTTTTTCTCTCTCTCTGCAGACTTGTATATACAAATACTATGTACAGAATCAAATTATTATTTTACTTTATTCTATTTTATTTTATTTATCTTTCTTGCTATTATACATTTTCCATAAATTTGTCATACTGTCTTCATATATAGTACATTTTAGAAGAATTTTGTAGATCGATTAAATGCCGTATTGATATGAAATAAGTTACGTCAGGTTGGAAAAAGGACGGGAAACGACGGGATCGCTTCTTTATGCCACTTCACAGGGTCGATGGTATTTCGGCATTTAATGTCACTTCCCGACATTTGCCCGACCTTTCTTGCACCCTACGGCTGTCTAGTCTGAATTGATTCGAGCTACGAGACCGAAACATCGAAAGCGCACGTCAGAGCGCTGGAAGGAACGCGCAAGTTTTGTACAACACGTTTATGTTTCTATGGATTAATAGACTATTGATAGAGTATATAATAAAAAATATATAAAATATATTGAACTATAATACAACTAATAATGATTTCTACAAGCATTAGAAAAAATAGTCTTTTATACAAATTAAAAGCCACCGTCTCGCGCGACATGATCTAAATCCTGAAACGGATGTCCTTAACGAACGCGGAAACAAAATCGTCGACGCGGGGAGTGGCAGTCGTCACGAAGTAAAATTTAACGGCTCTCGTCGCGAAAAGCTCGTCGTCGACGCGTGACTATCGAGCGAAGCCGATTATGGCTTAAAGATACGTCAGCGGAAAGTATACTTTCTTTCGCGGTCGATGGTAACGCGCACCCTTAAGGCGAACCATTGGTCAGGGGTCGAAGAGGTTGACCGTACGCAAAGGCGGAAACGGATGTGGCCGTTGGGTCACGCGATCACCACCGAGCCGAGCATAAAACACCTGAGTTGTTTAATCATACGCTCCCGAGGTGGAAGCCGTGCTTCGAGAACTCGGTAAGGGTTAAGAGACCGGCCGGTTTCTTTCTCTCTTTTCCCTTCGTCGGCCACCTGAGTTTGTATCGCGATACGGAAGTGCGGATTACTCATTGACGAGCGGACGTGCAAACGCGACGGTAATGAAGGGCCTTGGATTGGACGAATCGTTCGTGATAGCCGCGCGAGAGTTCAAGTATGAAAATTTAATCCTCCAACTTAACGTATAACGTACCGTTGGGTTCCTGTTTAATATCCTTCCACGATAAACTTGTACGATAATTCTATGATAATTACGTGAACATTTCAATTTATATGCTAATTTTCTTGATACTACCGTCTTACAGGCGACTGTTCCAATTTATTTATTAAATGACGAAAAAATCAGAAGGTAACTGGCTTTTAAAAACTGTCGGTGCTTGTATTCGCGTTTATCACGATGCTACGTGAAACTAGTTACGGCCTAAGAGGATTAGGTAGGAAAATTCAAATTTCTACATTGTATTCAGCGCTTTAGCGCACGACGAGATGTAAATTCGCAAGTAACTTGTGACAGAAAACTTAAGGTACCGAGCGGTTGCCAAATATTTTTCTACGGTGGCACAGAATTATTCTTGCTAATGTAATCACGCTTCATCTGTGACGGTATCATTATTAACGATGTTTTCTCAAGCAATAATGGGAGAACTGTGAGCGAATCGAAGAGCGCGCTTAATAAAATTATAAAAGCCCATCATATAAACGGCATTAACGGGGCGAACGCTTTCGCCTGTTTTCCCAGCGTGATTCTCGGCTAATATCTCACGGCGATCGAAACGCGTGGATAAAAAAATATCAAATTTATACCGTCCCATCGGTGCGTGGCGGGTATCTCTCGCGCGTGCACGCTGTTTAAAGCCGATGACGCACTTTGTGCGTCGCGCAGTTTCGAGATTTATCGCGGCTGCGTTTCGACCACCAATTCGTCGGCGGCCGCTCGCGTTCGCGAGCATCGACGAGTTACGCGGATTAATTTAAAGTGTCGCTTGCGCGCGAGATGCCGGATGAGTCCGAGCGAAATATACGCAAAATAGGGATGAAGAAATTATATTCGTACGTCGCGCTCGCATGTACGGATGAAAATAAGCCGGTAATTTGCACATATTTTGCGGTAAAACTTTCGGGTGGAGAAAATCGGCTTTGGCAGCGCGATTGTCATCAACATAATACAGTTAATGCATCGCAATAATTAATTAATAACCAACGCGGGAGAGATACACACACACGCTACGTTATTAGCTTGTCAAATAATTGTATCAATAATCACGCATTGATAATTATTGTATAATGAAAAAGCGAAATGTGTGCGCTCGTAAATCACGGCGAGTCGTCGGCCTCGCAACATTTTCTGAAACGTAAAGTTTCGAAAGAGAGAGAGAGAGAGAGAGAGAGAGAGAGAGAGAGAGAGAGAGAGCGGTCGGGTAGATTTTAATTAAATTCTACGATCTCTCCTCGCGCGCTCTGAAACGACCGCGTAGTAAGACGCGACCGGCTTAAGCTCTTCCTCGACTTACGATCTCTGCCCGAGGAAGCTTCGTGAGTCTCGCCTTTGTCTAACGAAAGCACGGCGGGCATTGTCGGACGACTGCTCGTCCTTCCCCGCCGACGGGCGCAGCATTGTTCGTGCTTATATTGTATTTTGGCATTACGAGTTAGCCGGTTTAATTGTTATTGTTCCGCGGAGCTTATCGAACACTGTGCCCTGTTGCATTCCCACGCGAATCATCGCCCGGCATCGCAATTACTCCTAAATCACTAAACTCCCCTTACCTGCGAGCGAGCAGTTACACGTAACTTACGACATTGACACCATTTATTGACTTTCCGATAGCGGCACCCGTGTTACAAGCGTCGCAAAACCACGCCCGACCGTATATCAACGTCTGCGTACGTCGAATATCCAGAAACAATATTTAAATAATAACACATGGTACAAATCATGAAATTTGATACAAGATAGCCAGTATAATTCTTTGAGTCATCTCTAGCTTTTGAGTAATTATATATATTGCGATGCAAATAAAATTGTAGTATACTACTGGGATAAGCTACATTTCAGGATAGAAAATAGATGAGATCATATTTTTTAATTAATTTTATGCAGTCTCTGATTCGATAGAATTTCGATTTAAGGCTCGATATTATAGAATGTTTAAATAATTGAAATGAAAATTGCGATAAATGACACTACCTGGATGTTTTTATTAAAAATAATTTCACTTTAAATTATAATTATATAGTCAAATTTACCATTAAAAAACATAATAACATGGAAATGACAGATAAATAGAAATGAAACATCCTGGGAGTTCCGGAATTTATTATTTCATTATA